CAGAGATAGCAAATCTATAGCGGACGCCTTGGCAAAGATAGCCATCGGTGGACTCAGAGGCTCCAGACAATATCCTGTTTGTTTCGTCGTGCTCCAACTATCAGCTCACCGAACAGGGTAAACGTGGCTCAACCAGATTCCTGGATGACTCCCATTGTCCAGTACCTCAAGGATGGGGCCTTGCCAAGAGACAAGGTGAGCCAAGGGTTGCGAGCAAGATTTGCTCGTTACACATCACTCGGGGACCAGCTGTACAGGAGAGGATTCAGTGCCCCTCTCCTGATGTGTAACCAGTGAAGAAGCAGACTACATCACTGAGGGAAATTCATGAAGGGATCTGTAGTAACATACAGCTGCTCGATCTTTGCGAACAAGGTCATTCGTAAGGATATTATTGGCCCGGATCCAAGAAGATACGCACAGTTTTGTAAGGAAATCGATAAATGCCAACGGTTCGCGAACATTCCGCGAGCCCCCTCGTACGAGCTGATAAAAATGTAGCCCCTGGCTATTTTCCATGTGGGGGATCGATCTTATCGGTCCCATGCCAGTTGGAAAGGGGGGGGTAAGTATGCGTGGGCGCGGTGGTTATTTCACGAAATGGGTGGAAGCCGAACCGCTAGCCGCGATCACAACCAGAAAGCTGAAAGACTTTGTTTTTACGAATATAGTGTGCTGTACGGAATCCTCACACCCTTATCTTGGATAACGGAAAGCAATTCGATAATAGGAGAGTCAAGCAGTTCTGTGACGAGCTAGGCATCCACAAAAAATTCACCTCAGTCGCCAGACCGCAAGCGAATGGCCAAGTTGAAGAGTCAAAAAGACCATCAAGCACACTCTAAAGGCCAAACTTGGAGCAGCCAAGGGGAATTGGGCTGACAACCTCCCCGAAGTTATGGGCGTACGGACGACTCCAAGAACTTCCACCTCGGAAACCCCTTTTTCGCTAGCCCATGGCTGCGAAGCGATGATCCCTGTAGAGGTGGGAACTGGATCTCTTCGGAGAGACTTGTACGACGAGGTTGAAAACGAAGCACTAATGAGGGCAAGTTTAGACCTCGTTGAAGAGCACCGCAGCAAGGCTTCGCTAAGGATAGCAGCCTACCAGCAGCGAGCAAAGAGGTTCTTCGACTCAAGGTCAAGCGAAGAGACTTTCAGGTCAAGGACCTTGTCCTAAAGGAAGTTCTCCTTGGGACCAGAGAGCTGAGTGCAGGGGTATGAAACCTAACTAGGAAGGACGTACCGGGTCGACAGGGGGGTCCGACCAGGACTTACCATCTCAAAAGATTGAACGGTTCCAAAGTACCCCTAGCTTGGAATGCCAAGCACCTCGGCCATATTATCAGTAATCCCGAACTCAACTCTCATTATAGATCAGTTTTTGATTGTTAGTTCCCCTTTGTTGTAAAGTACTATTATGTTCGCTTAAACAATTCGTTTTTATTCTGTCGCTTAGCAGTTCGCATTTATTCTGTTCGCTTGTAACGATTCGATGTAATATTGCTTATGTAAAACTGAATTGCACTATGTATAAAGAGCGAACAGCAGTTAAAAACAGAATGTATTTCCATTAATGTACAAAAGTTATCAAGACCCTCCACGGAGTCGAGACCGTTACACTATGGCTGGTCAGGGGGATCCCCCGAAGCGGGACCAGAACCCCCTGCCTGGTCGGATCGTCGGCGGCCAATGCTGCTTGGTCGTCTCCTCCGCCAGAATCCGCAAGGCCTCTTGCACCCCGCTGGGAGGTCGGAGATATCCAATATGGGTTCTTGGGTCGCAGGGAATAAATAGACCCAATTGCCAGTCTGGACTTTTTCCCCCACCTCTCAGACTGGCTCGCATCTCTTCAGTCAGCGAGGCAATCCTTTCCGACTCTCCTAAAGCTCTGCCTCGAGAGCTAGCCTTCCCTTTCGGAGCCTCCCTTTCTTATCAACTGCTGAGCCATGCGGAGGGTCGTTGGAGCTGCTGGTCCTTCTCTCCGACCTCCTTGGAAAGCCTAGCAATTGTCCTTTGAAGTTCTTCACTTCCTTGCACGTCGTTCGAGCTCCGCCTTTTGGAAATCACCGTTCGCAAAGCAGCGTCCTTTTGGTTCAAGTACCTGCCGCCGCTCGAATGCCTGTGCCCTTTTGCTTAACGGACTCCAGGCTCTGTTTAAGCTTAGCGACCTCCTCCTTCAGGTCGTTGGCCCCCTTCGCGGCCCCCAACGGGTCTTCTCCATAGAAACTCTCATCGCCAGCAAGCCTGCGAGCAAGAAGAAGTTTAAAAAAAATATAATAATAATAATAAATAAAAGGAGGACAGACAACTTTAAGAGCAGCTCGGGTACTTGCTTAGATGCTGGAACGAGGTGGTCATCAAGTGTCACCCGTATCGGCGAATTCGTCATACGACTCCGATAGCCCACATTCGAGCACGACCATAGACTATCGGCTGCAGATATTCGGGCAGACTCCCCAATGAGTCCAGCAATGGTGTGTCCTTTGCCTGGTCGGCAGCGATCGCCTCGCTCGCGGGTCTTTCCCGACCTCCTTGATTCTTGCCGCGACCTCAAAGGTTCTTCTCGGATTCGGTCTCCGACTCGTCGGCCTGAATCTGTTATTCTTTGACCTTTGGGCCGGAGCCTTCCGCCTTGGGCAAGCAGGTGGTGCTGAGCGACCTATCTGTCCTGGTCACTTCTGGCACAGGACGGGCCTGGGAAGGCGCGTTGTTGCACCGGTTGTGCCAATGGGACGAGCAGCTTCGGCCGCTCTCCTCCTTGATCGAAGGAAGACGAACGGTGCTCGGCGAGGCTGCTCGGATTCCTTCGGAGGCATAGTTGCTGCATGCAAGTAGTTAGTAAACAAAATTATTCTGGAAGAAGGAAATTAATGAGACTTACCTTCCAAGGGTTCTAAAGACGCGTTGCTGCTGATAAAACGTACTTCCGCAAATTTGCGGTTGTCACGAGCTTCCTTGCGTCCGGTTCCTCGTCAAGTACTCAAAAGACACAAGCCTATCTGGCGTCGAGTATGTCTTGGCTAGTCGTTCTATTAACTGCGAAAGAAGAAAGCAGGTCGTTATTATCAAGCGTGCGAACAGACAATAAACCTAGCGAAAAAAACCTACTTGGTTTCTGAAAGCGGCAGTAGCCGTCGTAGCAGAAAAAGAAAAAATTTGTTTCGTAGGCCCCGCATTGCTGGGAAGCTATGTATCCCCGGCAATGGTAGGTCACCGGGACAAGTAATATGAATCCTTGTCCCTACTCTTTTTAAGGTAATAGGCGATACCGAGCTCACACGCCGTTGGCTGCCCAGGCCATTCTCGCAGCACGCGATGTACATCGCAATGGGATGACATACGCGTTTGGCCTCAATTGCATCAGTGCGATCCCGAAGTAATCCAGGACCGACCTGATGAAAGGATGGAAGGGAATCATCCCTCCACCTTTGAAGATCTCTTCGGAGATCCAGCGGGCCATCGGAAGGACGCCGTGACGGCTGGTGTGGGGAGGAACACCCTAGCAGACGTCAAACTGCTTTTTATCCTACAAACTCCCCACGGGTGAGAACCGAGAAGACATGACAAGGGATGCATCCTCGGAAACATCCCGCGAGGGAGCTGGCCGTTCCTCGGGTCTGGGCGTTGACAGCTCCATATCCAGAGTCTGCAACACGACAGACACTGTCATTTAGGCCTTCGCATTTTGTCCCGTGCGGCGGCATGGGACAAATTCCTTAAACCCTAACAGTAACTCGAGCCGCCACCCACGGCTCGAGTCCGACAACGAGCGGCCTCGGTAAAACACCAGGAGACCAACACCATTGCCACCAGTCAAACAAACAAAAAAGAGAGGAAGAAGAAAAAGGGTCTACCTTCTGGGATGGTGACTAAGGCCGAATCTTGTCTCAGGTGTCTAGGGAGCGCCAATCGGGAAAACAGAACTTCCGGTTTGCAAAGACTTGTCTCTCGAAGCAAAAAGGATTTTGGTGGCCTCATCTGAAAAATGTGAGTTTTATATGGACTGCGAATCGACGGTACCACCCCTCGGAATCGAAACGACGCCTTCTCTCTCCCCGCATTAAATGCGCCCCACGTCGCATAAATGTCGTGATAAGAGTCGTCGTTTCAAATGGCGTAAAATAATGCGTCAAAACGAATCGAGTCAGCAACCAACGCATTTAAGCACCTGACAGACGCTGCAGCGCGTGCAGGGCGTTGATGGCGTGGACACAGGTTCATTGAATCTCTCCAAGGCACGGAAAAGAGCGTCCGACGAATCCAGGTCGCTAAAATGATGATTGTCAGGTCGGTTGGGTAAAAATTGTGCGAGGTCGTGTTCGCAAAGGGTCCTGTCCCGAGCTCTTCCATTCAAGTCGAAACTATAGTACCTCAAATCGCGGCATGACTTAGTTTCAAGGTTTCGATCCTCAAACCTTACAAACTAGGGGACTTCTGTTATGCCTGGGAAATCATGGGCTGACGTGGAGTCGCGTGGCGAAACGTGGCCTGCTCCCGTCAGAATGGTAAGCGCACGTCAGGCCTGCCAAGCGCCCTGGAGTTCCCACGTGTCCGCTCCCCTACTCCAAATCGTGTGAAATCAGCTTGGGAAATGGGCAATGTGACGTGAAGTCAGATTATGTCCTGACAATCACACCAACCCATGGATTTAATGATGATTACACGCATACAACAGGGTATAAGAGGAGGAAGACCCCTTCATTAAGGGGATTCGGCCATTTTTTACACAAGAAAAAACTCTCTCTCTCTCTTGTAAGCTGTACATTTACTTTTCCTGAATCATTTGTAAGTCAGTCCGCTGTTGCGACCTGACCCACAATATCAATATCAATACAAATCAGTGACGTAGGACTTGCTACCTTAGCATCCGAACCACTTTAACAGCTCTCATTGCATTTATTTCGTATTCTCTATCCATAATCACGTGTTCTTCTTGACCAATCAACGTTGTGCACGTGTCGTTTAGTTGGTGTTAGAATAGAGCATCAACAACATTGAAGGTGAAAGCAGGAACTGTAAAGATATATTACCTCATAATGCTTTTATATAAGGTACAATGACGATCAAGTGGGGATTGGGGAATATTATTTGCTTGCTTGTGCAGTAGGGCTAAAGTTTACCAGACCAAGTGTGAGGAGGAACAAAAAAATTTCCGGAAAAGGAGATAGGAAAGATAATGATTAGTGAACTAATACATACCAATTTCTTCTAGCTAAATGTTGGATGGTTGTATTAAGGTCACCCTCCCAATACTCTTTATCCACTCCCAACGTTAGTTGAACTTTCCGTAACCTTGGTGTGCTTAAAACTCCTCTACAGAAAATATTCATCGTCGGGCATCCTCTCAAAATGAATTCTTCTAAAGAGGGGAATTTGAAAGTGTGATTCCCATAGTAGAAGCTTGTGAGACTTGGTAAATGATCAAGTGATAACCTCTTTAATTTGCTGAAAATAATCTCATCTTCTGTTGCATCTCCCTCATTTGCTATTATTTCTGTCATCATTTCGCACCCATATACATTCAATTCCACAAGTTGCACCAGGCTTTTGGCTGTAAATGGTGTTACTAAATTTATCAATCCCTTGCAACTCGAAATATCTAGTGTTGTTAGATTTTCGAGTGTTGCAGATGATGGTATTAGGTTGATCAAATTTTCACAATGCGATATATTTAATATTTCAAGATTTTGAAGAATCAAATCCAGCTTGGATTCTTGTTTCCAGATGTACTTCAGATCAGAAAGTGAGCTCAACTTCAAAGTTTTTATTTGTGCAAGAGTTCCAGCATGTTTCTGGGCCTCTCCATGTAAGAATATCTCTTTGTATGAACTAAAACTCAATGCAAGCTCTTCCAAATTGTGAAATCTCTGAAGGAAACCAAGTGGAAAGGCAGTGGATTCATCTGCAACTACCTCAAGAGCTTTAAGATTGCGAAAAAGATATTCCGGAAATTGGCTCTGGCAGTCCTTTCCACTTAATGTCAACTTCTCCAAATTGGTGATGACCTGGAGACCAAACAGGAAAAAGTTAGATAAAATATTCCCTCAAAATATATGATATTCCTTGATATTAACCCAAAATAGAACATAAAAACTATTAAGTCTCATACCTTTTCAACCATAAAGAGGGGTTGTTGAGTTTGGAGATCAAGTTGGTACTCCCCATTATCATCCTGGACGATATTAAATTCTGAAGCAAATATCTTCACCTTATCACAATGATACACAGCCAGCTTTTTCAACATTGGCCATTTTGAAGTATGTATGCCAGGGTAAAATAATTTAAGTTCTGCTAGGTTAGAAAGTTTCAGGGAGGTCACCTGCGGAAAGACAAACACAGTTTCTTTCCGCACTTCGTCCACTGCAACGATCTCCTCTACACCACAAGTGTTTATCTCAAGCTCTTGAAGATGCAAAAGACTACTAGCAATGGAGGCTGGAAACACATTTCTCAGTCTCTGGCATTCAGAAACCGTCACTACTCGTAGATTTTGAAAGGAGGCACTTCCTATGGAATCCTTACTCCATATGTGCCTCAATTTTGGTAGGAGTTTAATATGCAAATATCTTAACTGAGTTTCTGCTGCACAATTTGTGCCTTCAAAATTTGGCCCCTGGATTTGAAAAATCTCCTCAAGTAAACCACAATCGGAAACAGTCAGCGACTTTAGGCTTGAAAATCTTCCTCGCAAATTACATGTAAACACAGCCTGTAGCTTATTGCAGCATTCAACCTTCACCAATTTTAGTTTGCAAAATGAAGACTCACCAACTTGGTCGTGCCATATCATCTCTAAGCTATCCATGTGGGAAATTACAAGTTCCTCTAAGTTTGGGAAAATAACCTGTGGTTTTTATATCCAGACCATTGCGTTAGAAATTCTTTTTAGTCCTGATTGAAAGCAGGACGGAAATCGAATGCAGAAAAAAAAAAGAATAATTGGAAATAAAGTATAGGGAAAGAAGGGAAAGATAATTTAAATTCTACAAGACCTTAAAGCTAGCACAACTGACAAAGAAAAGCTTTAAATAATCTACCTTTCCATTGAAGAAAGGCTCTATACCATCCTGATGAACCTCCACTGATCTCATCTTTCCCTCCTCTTTGGAAGTTGTCAGGTCTGTACTGTTTTTTTCTGAGATGAATGCCTTCAATTCAGGGCATTGCTCTATCTGCAGTTATTTCAAGGAAGGAAGTTCAATATAATCTCCTGAGCAGAATTGTGTGAGGTTTGGAAGGTCTTTTACCTTTAGGTAGTTTAATCGAGGGAAAATCATATCCTTAGTCTCTTCTCCTCTGAATTCATCTATGAATATTATCTCTTCTAAGACGACACATTTGCATATCTCAAGATATTGAACCTGCACAAGGCTTCCAATTGTAGAAGAGGAAAACAGATATTTTATATTACCACAGTCCCACATAATCAAGCGCGTCAGATTTTGAATGCAAGAAAATCCTGCTGGAAGTTGGTTGTGCCACATCTTCTCAAAATTTATTGCAAACAGTTCCAAGACCTCCAAGTTAGGGAATGCAACCTGCAAAAAAGTCTTTGTTTATTCTTCTTTTCATCTAGATTAATTAGTTAACAAATGAGAAGAAGCAAAAAGAATAAAATAACAGAAAAATTTTATCTTTCACCTGCCTTTTCACTGAAAAGTGCCGTGGGAATATCAAGATCATCTTCCGAAATGGCTAAATTTGAACTTTTCACTTTAGAGCAGAAGCTGGTGAGACATGGTAAAGATTTTAGTGTCAAGGAGCGCAATTGACTAAACTCAATCTTTTCAGTCGCTTCATTGTCATTGATCTCATCTTCATTTTCAATAGCAAATATCTCTTCCATATTACTGCATCCATTCACTTCAATTGTTTCAAGCTGTGGAAGGCCTCTAGCAATGGAGAATGAGAAGATATTCTTCAATTTAGAACAATTTTCCACTTTTATGGTCCTGAGTTTGCAAAATGACCCTGCAGTGAGTTGACCACGGCAAATCTTCTCCATATTAATCAAATTACAAAGAAACATTGACTCTAAGAGGGGGAAGGCATTGTGAGGTACCCAATGTGCTGAGTCAACAATGCATAGAAAATATGGATTATTTTGGGCATGAAGATGCTTCAATTGTGGAAAACCTTCTCCGTCTAACTCATTAAGAACATTTTCAACACCATGCAATTCATCTAAATATAGATCTTCCACTCCTTTCAACTGAGAGATAATGTTGTCCTCTGGGAAAATGCTGGTATTGAGCTTTAGCTTCAAAGTTCTTGAAGTTTCATAATTACCAGACCAGTCCCACTCATCTCCTATGAATATTCTGTACCTCTCCAGCTTTTCCGAGAACAATCCCTTGGGTAGAATCTTGGCATCATGAACATGTATATCTAAAGTGGTCAAGTTGGACAAATGCTTCAACTCATCAAGGCTAGCATTGCATCTTTCATTGTCGCATCCTTCAACCTCCCAATTAACAAAGCTATGACCGATATACAACACTTCTAATTGGGATAAGCTTGATATGACATTAGGTGGAATTACTTTTAGTTTGGAGCAACCAGTCAAATCTAACAACCTTAACTGAGTCAATTGACTTATTTCTCCTGGCAATTGCTCGATGTCAGACCTGAGAAAGCTAAGAATTTCTAGTTTCTTCAGGTTTCCTATAATACTTAAGTCCCTCAAAATGCAACGATCTAGACATAATGTGTGAAGATTTACTAGGAGTTGAAGTGAAGAAGGCAACAACAATATATGCAGTTTAGTCAAATCTAAAACTCTAAGTTCAGTCATACCTTCGAAAAAATTGTCTGGAATTCTCAAAAAAAGATCCTTGCTGTATACATAGAAAAATTGAAGATGTGGACATTCCAACTCCTCAGGAAGCTCACTGATATCATTACTACGTAAGGACATTGCAGTGCAATTTTTTGGTACATTGATTAACCAATCCTTTGGAAGAACCTCATTTCTCACTGCAAACATGTTTCGGTCTCTGCGTGCAATTGATATAGCAACATCACGAACAAGATCGTGCATTGCAAACTTTTCGCTGGTAGAACTGTCAAGCAACAAACAGGAAGCTTTGAGTTTATAGACCAAGGTATATACCCTGTCCCGAGCTTCTTGCATTGTATTGATGCCTTCATATAAACGCAAACCCATTCCATATTTCACCAAGTCTGTAATTAAAGCACTGTAGTTAAATCCCATTAGACTACAAAGCAAAAAGGTTGACTTGAGTTCTTCATCTTCTAACCGATCGTAACTCAACTCTATAGTTGAATAAGGCACTTGCATTCCGATGAATTTTCCCGGAGAAGGCCTTTTCAGTTGTAGCAAGGCATCGTTCCATACAGATACACTCTTGTTTCTTAATGCCCTTGCAGTTGTCACAATGGCAATGGGCAAACCAGCACATACCTTGACCACATCCTTAGCAACAGATAGCAAATCATTGTTTTCGATATAATCTCCTGTCATCTTCTTAAACAGAAGCCAAGCTTCTTCTTCATTTAGAACTCCAACCGAGAAATCAATTTGAGAATCCATCTCATTTGACACTACCTCTTGACTTCTGGACGTAAGCAATATTTTACACCCCTTATGAGCCTCTCCAAAAGGAATTCCTACTGCATCTAAATCAAGATGCCTCCAAATATTATCTAAGATGATAAGGACCTTCTTCTCTCTCTGCAACCGTGCACGAAGCCTCCTGGCTCTTCCATTTTCACTCTCCTCAGAGAATTCCAGACCTAATTCATCTGCAATTTCTCCTTGAATCTTTTTTACATCTAGATCCTCGGATACAACAACATAAACTACCTCATCAAAAAGCTTGTTTTTCTTGGCTTCTCGGGCAACATGCTTCACTAGCATTGTCTTGCCAACGCCACCCATCCCGTACACCCCAATGATGTTAACATCAGGATTAATTAACTCATTCAATATATTCTTCAGAGTGGACATTCTTGATTCAAAGACCTCGTAACTCTTGATAGGTGGCCAAATCTCCTCTGGAATGGGTTTGAACGAAACTCTGCTAAATTTCCCTTCTTCCAGGAGTTCAACAACAGCCTCCACCTCCCTTACTGCTTCCTTGCTAAATCGATAGTGTGCCTTAAAATTTGGACACAACCCCTTGAAACACCGGTTGTTTGCTTGATTGTCATCTTCAAAGACCTTCCCTGCCTCATCAAAGGTCTCGTTCGCCCTAATCAGCCAATTTTCAACATCACGTTCAATCTCTTCCCCCTTTCTTTTAGCATCAACAATTGAATGATGTATCCTTTCTTTAGCATCCTTGAGCTTTTCAACTTCTGCCTCGAGATTCTTATAGTTGCTTTTATAGTTCCAGAAATAACGAATTGGACGAACAATGGGATCGACCAAGTACTCTGCAAGTTTTACAGCAACAGAAACACCGACTTCTTCCATTTTCAATCCTTTTTTTCTATCTTTCCCTTTCTGTTCTCTATCAATCGAGATTTAAAAATACAAGCCAATCGAATGAACTGATAATGAAACAGGGATTACAAAAGCAGGATATATAACAAGTAGTCGAAGTCTTTAAAATCAAAGACCTGGAATGAGTATTATATAATAATGAAGTAATTGAGTACAAGGTAAACTAACTATAAGCCGCCTGATTCAATGGAAAAGACGAACACGGAATCCGAATGTAACATGCCAACAACTATCAGCACAAGAATAGGAAGAGTCAAATATAATATAAAGAATGATGTGGTATAAGGTATTTAAGATCGTTGTTTATCTTATTTGTAGAATTGTCAACGAGTTGAAGGATCCTAAAAAACAAATAAAGGAAGGGACAAGGAAGCAAACAACTAGATACAGAAATCTTTGACCAGAGAAAGCCAATTGATAAGTAAGCTTAGAAAACTTACAATCAAATCCATCCTCAGCTGCCCAGAAACTTACACAATGAAAAACTTGCAGAAAACCTACACTGGTCAAATTATCCATCATCAATTGCCTTGAAACTTTCACGATGAAAACAAAGAAAATTTTAGAGGATATTTAGCACCAAAAAAATGGAGATGCAGGGGATCGAACCCTGTACCTCTCGCATGCAAAGCGAGCGCTCTACCATTTGAGCTACATCCCCTTCATGTCTTACTTTTGATAACCCACCAAAAATTCACTTGTGTCCACAACTTTTATGGCTGGATCAACTATCAAGAAACCAGAGAAATCAGATTATGAGAGTATTCTATCAGCCTTCCAGTACCAGTAAGGATTCAACCTCCTTCACCAAGTTGGTAATTTTATTTTATTTTTGTTTGCCCCTTTTTTAATTATTATTATTATTATTTTAATACTTTGAGAAGGTTGTTATTTTAAAAAAAATGATTATATGTTAATTTTTTTTTTCCTAATATTCATCGAAACTTTAATAATATTTTTCTTATATTTTGTCAATAGGGATTTTATTTCTATAATTGATTTTGACAGGTCTGTTTGGGAGTTTTTTTTTTCACTGGTTTTAGGAGGTTTTGTAATTAGGCTGGTTTTGAGGTGTTTAAAAAACATTGCTTGCCAAATTTTTTATGAACTGGTTTTGACTGGTTTAAAAAACCCCCAAAACCAACGTAATATATTTTTGAGGGGTTTATAAAACATCCCAAATATGGGTGTTTTGGTTGGTTTAAAAATTTTATCCCAAAAAAACCCTTTTCTACTATTATTCATATACAATAATCCTTTTGCTAGTTTAAAAATTTCTTCAAACCCAATTCAATCTTCAACTTTTAAATGATTGTTACAATACTTTTGAATCTTTTATCTTAGGTTTTATAATCCTTCATTAGAGATATGAAGGCTTTTCTTTCTTTCTTCTTCATTTTCCCCTTCAACTTTTTGTTCTTTTAATCCGGTAAACTCTTCTGCAGGCTGTATACAATTTAATTGCATTTCTTTACCTTGTAAGTAAGTGGTTTTTCCTCTATTTGATTCTTTCTATTTGCGTTTAGGTGATTGATTAAATCCTTGTCAGTTTGTTAAATAAGGATTGTTTTTTATGGCTTTGCTTCCCTGATTGAAGAAAAGAACAAAAAACTGTTTTTTAGAAATGTTGTTGCGACTGTTATATTGATAATTTGCGAAGTCCAACATTGTGGCAGCATATTTATTCTCTTAAAATGACAGATTTCGAATGATTGTATGAATAATTAAATAATATACAATGAAATAACTTACAAATAAATTAAACTTGGAAGGAACTATGATACTAAGTATTGGTAATTGAAAAAAAAAAAAAAAACTCTCAAATACTGGTTGAAGTTCGGGTATTTTTATGGGCATATATATAAATTTATCATTTTAAAAAACTGTCAGAACCATTGGAAAATAAACTCTCAAGCACAGGTTAAGTGTTTTAAAAACCGCTACTAAAAACCCCTCAAAATCGTTACAATGGTTTACCCTCAAAACCGTTACGATGGTTTACCCTCATAACCACTATCATAAAACTCCCAAACAGACCCTTAGATTATTGCCTTGTTTAAAACTGAGAAATTTGATGAATTTTTCATAAATTGGCCACCCTATATTATAAGTCGTTGCCAATGAATTTAATAATATAATTCATATTTTTATAATCGTTATCTCATATTACCATTACGGAAATATTTCATTAAAAAAATAACTTAAAGGCAAGAATATATATATATAAAAAAAAAAAAAAAAACCTATTTTTGTTTCCCCCTACTCTTTTTTTTTTTTTTTTAAATTACTATAAGAATTAAGAAGATTCTTATAATCTTATTTTAGAAAGGGAGTAATACATTGTTATTCAGATTTTAATAGTATTTTTTAATTTTTCTAATGTTCATTTAAACTCGATAAATATTCTTCTTATATTTTACTTCAATAGTGAATTGGCAAACACTATTGACGAATTGGTTCCTAAAACGTAATGCATGCCTTTTTATTTAGTTTTCTAATTCAATAACAACTCTCCTTATTAATTAATCCTTTTACAAACAAGATTCATCGAAAACGCAATATGTATATAGTTGAATATTATTACATTAAATTGTTATTCTTTCAATATTATACACATTAACAAACTCCTTCAAATCCAATATGAGTCATGACGGTGTTACCAGTCATGGTCCAATCTTCTGGTTGATATAGGAACATCTATATTTCGATGATCAAATCTGTTTTCGGGCCGGCCGTCATCTGCAAAAGTTGGTTATGGAATACTTATGCTATCAAAAGTTAGTTGATATACCAAACACGCTTTGCATGCTAAGTTTGTTATAAAAGCTGAGTTGTTATGGTATTTTAAAATACCAATTTTTAATTAAATTTTGGACTATTATGATTTAAATGTAATTAAAATTTTGGATTGTTATGATTTGAATGCAATTGCAATTGCTTCGGCCACTTTACAATTCAAATCATGGTTGGACAATTTCATTTTTTTTTTAATTAAAATTAGCTGTTATAAAATCGGGGTAGTTTCATTTTTTATAATTAAAAAAATGGATGTTACAAGCAAGAGGCAAGTATAAAAATTGGTGTTTTATTCTCTTTTATGCAGTGACAATTTTTCTACTTGAGAGAATTCATTTTGTCTCTACGTTTTAATTCTTTCCGACTCTCCTTTACCACTTCTTCTTTATCTTATACTGTTCTAAGCTTCTGTAAAATAGTGCATTTTAAATAGAAGTTCATCATTATATCCTGGAGATCGGTTCGCATTTGAGCCATTTGCACCGAGAAGATCCTTCCAATGAGGTGAAAATTTGATCTTAAGGACAGCGTTTCTCACGCCTTGATGCCATAGTTTCTTTCTGTTTTATTGCTGTTTATTTGTTGTTTTGCTGCTGTTTTGCTACTGTTTTTCTGCTATTTTTTTGTTGTTTTTTTCTGCTGTTTTGGTGCTGGTTTTTCTGCTGTTTTGCTGTTGTTTTATAGGATTTGTAATAAATTCCAACAAAGTTTTCTATTTTCGGGACCATTTATTAAATAGTTCTAAACAAAATTTAGTAATAATATTAAGAAAATAACTCATATTTTAAAAAAAAAAAAAAATTCCTAATTTTGTAGGACGTCCTTCTTTCTATTTAGTTTTCTAATTTTAATAAGAGCTATATAGCTGTAAACTCGTATTCTTTTTCTTTTTTTATTTTTAAAAAAATGCAAGTTTGACATAGAATTTAAAATTAGTTTTTTGTTTTTAGAAACAAAAGATAAAAGGAATGAGTCGAATTGTTTTCAAAAATAGTTTTTAAATACAATTGTAAAAATTTGTGTAAAATAAGAAAACGGGTAAAAGTTGTTTTCTATAGATTTTAATCTGAAAACAATTTTAAATATGAATCATATTTTAGTTTTTGAAAGATATTTTTGAATCACAAATAAAAAATGAGTTTCTTGTTGGGTTAAGGTTTCTTGCTTCAAAATACTACTGACAAAATAATTCTCTAGAACATACCATAAATGACCTAAGAGTTCCCTAATCCTTTCATTGATTTTGTTTCCTCTTACTCTCTTTTATTTTATTTTAATTACTATAAGAATTAAGAAGATCTTTATTTTAGATGAAAGGGATCCATATTATTATTCAAATTTTAATATTTTTTTTTTTAATTTTCCTAATGTTCATTTAAACTCAGTTAATATTCTTCTTATATTTAGTGAATTGGCAAACACTATTGACGATTTGATTCCTGAAACGGAATGCATGGTAATATTTGCTATTAAGTCATGGTCCAATCTTCCGGTTGATATACTAAGCGTGATAATGGAACATCTATATTTCAATGATCAAATTCGTTTTCAAGCCATCTGCAAAAGTTGGCGATGGAATATTCATGCTATCAAATCTGGAGATCAATTGCCTTGGATATTTGCTCACAAGTACAACCAACATGATAAGGTCATTGGCACTTGTTATCTTTACAACCCTTCTAACAAAACAAAGCATGAGATTAAAAAGAAGTTACCATTTGCATCAAGGTTTGAAGTTACAAATTATGGTTGGATTCTTATATCCAAACTAGAAGAGAATGTCCGTTGGTATCGTCCTGGTAGTTTACTCTTCTTCTTCTATAATCCCTTTACTGATGAAACAATAAAACTCTCAGCATTGGAAACTCATCTATACATTGAGAGTCATCGGGTAATACTCTCAGGCAATCCAACTTCCAGAGAGTGTGTGATATTTGTAGTATTGAGAGATCAATGCTGGGAAGGTTGGGAATGCATGAAAATCTACACATGTAGGCCTAGAGATACAAGAGGAACTCTTCATTATTGTTTAAAAGATTTTAGACGAGATATTCTTAATTTGGATGGAGTCTTATATTGTGCTAGTATTAGCAGTATATTTGGAGGTGAAAAAATTTAGTTAAGTTCCTTTCAGATTATAGCAAAAGAGCAGAAAATCGTTCTTGATCTAATTGATGTTCTTTCTATTGCAATTCCCTCATGGGCACTTATCTACGGTTATAGACTAATTGAGTCGGATGGGAATGTTTTATAAACATGTTTTAAAGATGATGATTGGTGTCTTGTTTTTAGGGTTGATTTTTCAGAGAAGAAGTTGGTTGAATGTGAAAATTTGGAGAAGAAAATTTTGTTTATAGGTTGGGAAAAATGTATATTAGTTCCGGCAGTGGGGGCTGCAAGTGAATTAGCCAATACTGTACGTCATAATTGCTTCATGAAGTTTACTCTTATTTTTATAAGGAACCAGAAACTCACTTGTGTCCACAACCTTGTGGCTGGTTCAAGAAAGCAGTGGAATCAGATTATGAGAGTATTTGGATTCAACCTCCACTACATTTTACAAGGTATTAGAAAATCACTACATTATGCTCAGATCAATCAGAGTTCCAATAATGATTCAACCTCCTTCACCAAGTTTATTAATCCCTTTCTAAAATAAGGATTTTTAGTCTTGTTTGCTTCTTTTTTTTTTTTTTTTTTTTCTAAAATAAGATTTCAAATTTTGTTAGTAGAGACTCAAAAGGGGATTGCAGGCAAAATTGGTAAAAAAACGATCAAAAATGTCTTCCGAGGAAAGAACCATAATCCATGATTTTGCAATAGAGGTTTAAAGTTATTGAAAGCAAAACAATGACAAGAAACGTTCCTTGTTTCTAGTTTTATGGTTAAGTTGATCCTCAATATCCCCTTACAAAAAGACTAAGTTACAACAAGATCATACACTCGAGATATTTCTCATCTGTATTCCACTGGCAAGCGGTATCCAGACATGACTATTTTATCGGCAAACATCTTGCCTGTCTTTGGCATGACATGCCAGTGCAATGTCAAGTTGAATTCTTTACCCCGGAGATTGTGTCCCTACATGGAAAAGGAAATGGGAAATATGAGAATCAAATTCAATTTTGGTAAAGAAAACACGCAAGTTCCCTTATGAATATTGGTAGACAGAATGATAAACACAATTCATAAGGATGGCACACCTGATCAATGAAACGGTACTTGTTAGAGGTGTGAATGGAAAACTTGGCAGACTCTTTGGCAGGTATTATAGCATCCCAAAGTGATACCTGTGCAACAACATTCAAAGTCAATCAAGTAAAGAGCATGGTTTCAAGCAGATAAACCTGAGATCTGATAAGTACTTTTAAAATTCACATGCAATATAATATTGGCACAGAGTGGGTGTTTATGAGGAGGAAGAACACAAAGGCAAATCATTATAGCCTAATAATTACCTCATAAGTTCATAATCTAGAACGGATGACACAATATTAAAATGACCGCAAAAATAGAAAACAATTGTACTTCAGAAAATATATGCACCCACAATCCTTGAGATTACCTGGTTTAGTGCATTCTTTGGGGTTTTGTATTCAGCTGCTATGAAAATGAAAAGCTGCAACGAGTAGTAAGGCGATGTTTAAATCTCAAATCAGCTTTAAGTTTACGCACAATAATTGTAAAAGAGGAACTGGGCAAATAAGCCTATCATATTTGGGCATCCCATTGAATTAGTAAATAGGATTTGAAACAGGAAAAAGTTGAAATAATTAATTAACTGCTAAAAGATTATAAAAAAACAATATATACATTTCCTACGGGGTTTAATTAACATGTTTACATGTCAGAGATGAGCATATTCAATTTTCTCAATGTCTAATCATAGGAAACCTCTTATGTATCAACCTACCACTAAAAACACCTTGGAAAAGCACTTTTAATCAGCAAATAACTATTAAAGCCTCTACATGAAAAGAGATAAAGAAAACTTGGACAATCAACCTGTTTGGTGTTCCATGTAAACAGAGATTGCAAATCGGCGGTTATATTCAATGTCAGGCTGACCTGCATACAAGAAAAAATTTACTTAAGAGTAAATTTGGAATCAAGAGCTAGAAGATAAATGACATAATAATGTGTGCTTACAACACAACACATCCATGGAAGAAGAGCTATGCATGTATTAAATCAGGCTTGTCCCTTTCGATCCATAATTCCTATAATGTGAATTATGGAAACCATAAAAAGAACTCTGGTTCACTTAGAAAATAATGACCATTATCATTCTCCAAAGTTCGATTTTCTTCTTTCAGATGGCGAGGGAAGCCCCCTCATCATATCCTCCGGAACTCCTAAATCAACTGCCTAATGTTTTTAGCTGGGGTAGTAATGACCCCACAACACGCATACCATTTCAGCATTGCACAATGACTGGGAATCGAACCCGTACCAAGGCGAGTCTAGGTTTACAATCTCCTCTAGCAATATACTTATTACTATCCCTACCGAAAAAGGCGTCATCAACAATGAAATTCCAAATGACCCAGCTGCGAACTAAATGATCAACTTACTGTAACAAGAGCACTCACTATCACCAAAGCCGCACCTTATCATGTATTAAACTAAACTCTCACACATTAAACTAGTATAAACAAAATAATGATGTACAATTATCAATATTCCTATCATCAATTAAAGCTTCTACTTATCAAACTAATTACTTAATCATACACATAATTTAGATTCAAAGCCCATAAATCTAACAAAGCTTCTACAAATTACAAAAACAATCAATACTAAAAATCAAAAAAATTTAAAAATTACCTCATCGTTTCCATGCGTCTGCTTCTGAAACCAATTAATATTCACTACCTACAATCACAAAAAACACAAACCCATAAAACAAAAATAAGTCAAAATCACAAAAGCCCAAATGGGTTCTCTTAATTCTAACACGAATCAAAGACGGATCCAAAAAAAAAAATTCAACGAATCAGATAAAAGACACTCGTAAGTTGACCTGGATTTCAGCAGTCGGAGAAGGAGTGTTAAGGTTGTCAGATAGAGAAGCGATGGCGCACATTAAGGCGACAATGGTTACGGCGAACGTTAACAGAGCGTTGGCTCTGTACCCAAATGAATGCATTTTTTTGGTATTGCCGTTTATGCTGCAGCTCGTTTTATTGTTTTCGTTTTTGTTTTTTTTTATTTTAATTTTAATTTTGTTTTTCGTTTTTGTTTGTGGGTTTTAATATACTGTTGAACTGTAACCAGGGTTCTGTTAATAGAGCAATTTGATTGGATGATACGCGTGCTTAAGGATTAAGATCATTTGGTGAGTCCAACTGCTGACGTGGATATTTTTAGGTTTTGATTTTTGAATATGATTTTTCTTTTTCTTTTTCTTTCATTTTTCTTTTTTATTTTTTGTTTTGGAAAATGTGTATAAGACCAAGAAAAACAACTTTTTATTTTCCATAAACATTTCAATAATTTAACTATTAATTCTTTATTATAAATTTTTAAATAATATTAAAAAAATTATACAAAAACCTCTTATAATATTTATAGAAAATGAGCTATATATATATATATAGTCAAGTTTTATCACCTTTACAACAAGAGTTGGTAACTATTACAAACATTTTAATAATTATACGATCTTGAATCTCATCATTAATCAGTGACGAAACCAAGAAATTAGGTTTGAGCCTTTGTGAGGTGACTAAGGTGTAACAATTAAGTCATGAGGAGATCCAAACAAAAGTGTATTTAAGGTATTGCATTTAAAAGGATCACGATGAAGGGGGCAAATATTAAGGGGTAAAATTTATTAAATTTAAAGGAATGGAATATATTTAAAAATTAATAATAAAAATTGTGACTATGGCCACCCCAAGGCCCAAGCCGCAAGTCCAGTGTCCACCATTATCATAATGTTTTGACAGTTTGAGTTTTACAAAATTTCTACCCAAGCTTTGACAAAATCTCAAGTTGGTATTATTGGTTGTATTTATTCTAGATTCTTACTTTTAAATTAACATTGTTGTCGATTTTTAGGTTACAGAGAGTGCTATTACCATAATACCCTTGACAAATAAATTAATAAATTACTTTTAACTCCCTAAATTAGTAAAATTATAAATTAACCAATTTACTATAAATTTATTTCAACAACGTCCTCGGTGACTGCATACCCTTTTGGTTTTTGCCTGATCTGGGCTGTTTTCCAACAGAGTTGAACCCCTCTGTCACCTCCATCATCTTCCCCATTGCCCGTACTCCAAAACCCCTCTATTTCCTAACTCATTGACCCTTCTGATCACTAACGCCGTTAGGTTTAGGGTTTCAGTGTTCTTCACCGGATTCCGATCGATTCCGATATCCAAAATCCAATTGGATACCACCACTACAACCAATGTCTCCAACTCTACAAAATCCCTCTATCCCCAAAAACTGGTTAGTTACCATTCGTTGGCCGAGAGCTTCGTGTTCATCACGTTTTTTAGTGAAGTGGTTGGCGGCAAACGGTGAGCTACCATGGCCAGGAAGGTTGGGGGTTTTGTAGGGGGGATGAGGAGTCAAACGGTAGTGGTAGTTGGGGTTGTCACCGCTCAAAACAGTCGAAAATAGGCAACAAATAGTTGCATGCGTGGCTGTCATGGCCGGCAATCGACGAGTGATTTGGGTAGGGTGAAGGGTAAGGTTTTGTAGAGAGGAGGATGCAGGTTCAAATGGTGATGACAAGAGTGATTTTGGGTGGAAGAATCACTAGAAAAGGTGAAAAATGCTAGGCGCAACGCCTACTAACGTGTGCCGCATTAGATTAAAATGCATCGAAGCACTGTTAGAGGCGACAAACTACTAATGTGCTTCAACTCCTACAAAATGTCTATTTTACCATTTGATCGTTACACTAAATAATTTTCTGTTACTTTAAGAGTGAGAATCTATAATAAATGCAATATGAGGTACTAACTTAAGATTTTGCCAAACCTCATGTGGGAATATGCCGATTGCTTCTTCATATATGATCTATCAAATCTTGATATGATCAAGAAAGTCTTTTCGCTTTATCAAGAAAGTAAAGATGGGGTCGTCAAACTCAAATATTAAAATCAAGATGGATTATAAAATACAATAAGCTAAACCTTTAATTCTAATACCAAGTTAAATGATCAATATTGACAATGTGGATTTAAGACCTTTACATTTATTTTTTTAATAGGTATCCAAACTAATTTACACATATCTTAACTATTTAGTCGAAAGAAATTAGCAACAACCCACCACCATGATCCACTATCAAATTGCTGCTCAGATGACTTCTACATCTCACTTACTCTATACTGTAGGTTGATGTACTTCGTCCCACAAAATTCACAAATTTCTTTAAATTTTATGTATAGATATAACAATTTCATTCCTTAAACCCCGATTCATGTTTTCGTATGCTTCCCATATCCGTTAAACTTTACACTCTTGACCTTCTTAATTAAATGTAATTTCTTGAGTAGTAATCAAAGTATCAAACCATCAAAACCAAGTGTTTTATTCCATTATTTTGACATGGTAAAGTAGTAGAACTTTACATGATTTACATAAACCTCTCACACAACCTCATCTATGGAGTTGCACTAGTTGTAGTGAAGTTGAAGTTGCCACAACTAGTCCTCCGAGACAGCAACGAGGAGCTAAACCCAAGCCTCGACTTAGCCAGATCAAACTGCACAAGATTGTCCTGCAACTGATGACTCCCAATAACAATTGAAGCCCTCGGCCGAAACCCTCCATCAACAAATGCTAAACATGTTACCCCGGGTCGTACCTCCACCATCGAGTTTGTTCCACTGATTCTCCACTTCACGTTTTGGTTCTGCAGCACCAGGTCTATGTTCGGCACCTGGGGTCCAATCTTTGAGTAGCTTAGTTTCTTAGTGTCATAACACACTCCAAATGGCGCCACAGGAGTTTTCATCTGTGGTATCCCGGAGAGCTGGCTGGTGAAGAACTTGGTGAAAGATTGATAGATTGAGTGTTCAAGAACTGTAAAAGGCTTTGCTGTACTGAGCTTTGTGCCGCCTGTTCCGGCATGAGGACTGAAAGTTAACAAGGATGTGTCAATCGGGACAGGCTTGTTGTTTATTTCTATTGATGTTACGGGAATGTAGTAATGTCCCTCTTGGCTTATTGTCAAAGGGGTGTAGCTTAACGAACGTGAAACATCAATATTTGGATGCATATAATAAGGCCCGTCTCCAAAGAACATGACACCGTTTGTCGATGATTTTGAAGGAAGACACAAGGCGAATTTTGGTGGGAAGCCGAAGTGTGAGGCAAGTTGAGTCGGTAGAGAGATTGGCGCATGGCCTAGTCCTGCAACTCCTTGAACATTTTTCGGTAAACCTTTCCGCAGAAGTTTGGAAGGTGCACAAGCAAAGAGGAACTGAGGGATAGAAACCAAAGGGCCGGGGTTGGACCCTTTTAAGGATTGAATTGAGAGCACATCTTGAGCAAGCTCGCCCATGGCTGTTTGGCGTGTGATGGGGTTCCTAGCCATGACCCCACATGTGTTGTTGTGGCATCCGGGTCTGGCTGCGGAGGCGCAAGTGTGGCAGTAAGAGGTTTGGGCTCTGGCGCATTGAGTGGAGTGGCAAAAGGGGGCGTGGTAGGTTGAAGATAAGTAGTCGTGCTTACAACTAACCCACAGGAATTGGCCATTTAAGTGCACAACAAAGGGTAGTTGTAGTAGAGGAGTTCTCTTGTGGATGCTGGTCACAAAAAGATGTGTTGAGCTATCTTTTTGCAGCGGTAGAACAAGGTTGTTTGGCCTCAAAATTGTTCGGGATTGCGCTGTGAGGATGACCAAAGAGAAGATCAAAAAGAAGAAGTGAGGAAAACAAAGAGAAGAAGTCATTTTCCAGAACCAGGAAAGCTTGGCTAGAGGAAATAGTTTAGACACAACATGCATAATATATAGTTTGTTGTCATGTAACCCAATTTAATTTGACTTATATAAACAGATGATGGGACCTTTTTTTTTTTTTGGAATGAGGGTTTCCCTAGATCAAATATGGACGTTTTTGGTGTGCTCATTGTTCATCAGAGAGCTTGGAACATATTTGAGTTGGGTTAAGGAAGTTCACATGGAAAATTTGGCTGAGGCAGGCAGAAGATGAGCATCGTAACAAGAGAACAATACATGAGTTGGCGAGGCTGGAGACACTTGGCAATGAGAAGAGCCCTAACTAGACAAGAGGTCATGCAAGAACTGGACCTTAAATGGGCTAGTCTGGGCCATTAAAGTGGGCTTGGAACCCAAATGGGCACAGCCCATTTGAAGAGGCCAGATCCTCAGATGTGGTCAGATTCAGAGCCGGAAAGTGGAACCAATCACTTTGAAACATCAGAAAGCATGAGGCTCCTGATGATCTGGTTTAAAGTGAACAAATAATTGGAGAACTCAAATGATAGACCATATAAATCTCTTCTTTTGAGAAAGCTACTTGTATACATGCCCACTTTTGTGATTATTCATACTAAGATTTTATGGACTTCCAAAGTAATACCCCAAAAATTATTGACCATAACAACATATAATATGGTAAAAGCTTATTAAATCATTATTAATAACCTTTTTTTTTTTTTTTTTTTTTAATGACCGGAGGTGTTCGGACCCTTTTGCGCATACCTTAAATTCTATTAAATTTAATTAACTAATATTAAAAGATAATACCAAATTCAAGTAAATGGAAGGCAATAACAACAGAGACAATGTATATTATTTACAAATCCCAACACTTAAACCAAATTTAGCATATCATGAAAAGAACATGGTTTGTGTGATTAAATTAGTAAAACCAGGTTGTGTAAGTGAAGTATATGTAGTGCTTGTTCCTGTCTGAGCTACTGGTTGAGCTTGTCTGTTATGGTTCTGCCATGATCAAGGATCACTGTGGCTCTCATACTATATATATGTAGAAAATGTCAGTGAATTTCGATCAGTAAATTATCAGAGTGCAGAAAGCTAGAAGAAAAAGCAAGCGATAAAGAAAGAAAAACTTCACTCAAACATATATATTATTCACTAAAAACAATTCATGCACAGAGGGCAGCTAATATATATGCTCAACTAGGGACAAGAAAACTGTAGAACAAGAGAAAATAACTAAAAAAGATAAAAAGATCCCTTATGTTTCGCACAACAGTATAGTAGAAAGAGAGAGAGAGAGAGAAAGGGGACGGGGGGTGTAGAAAATTAGAGGTTTGGTCATCCTGCATATGACAACTGCATTCTTTTCTCATCACCAGGTAGTATTCATCTTCATCTTCATCTCCATGATTGATTTAAATTTCTGGTTTTGTTATAGCAAATGATTGAACATATCACATCAAGAATTATATATGTTATAGCAATCTGGTTTTGGTCATCCATAATTTGATTGTGCCGAGTCTAACATTGTAGTAGAGGGGTTTTCTTGTAGATGTTGGTCACAAAAAGATGTGTTGACTGTTGAGCTATCTTTTTGCAGTGGTACACAAGCTTGTTTGGCCTCAAAGTTGTTTTGAGATTAAGCATGAGGGTCCTGATGAAACTGGCTTAAAGTGAACACATAATTGAAGAACTCAAATGATTAAAGTCAAAAGTTGAAGGCAAATAGAGCGTTTTAGGCTGGAATGGATGGGGATTGATGCCAAAACGTTTGATATTTGAAACCAACATTATATTAAAGCAAATAGATACATCTCTTCTTTTGAGAAAGCTACTTGTCGACATGTCCACTTTTGGGATCATTCATCCTAAAGATATTATATACTTCTAAAGCAATACCCAAGTATATTATTGACCATAACAACATTATACACTTGGCAAAACCAACACTTTTTTTTTTTTTTTTTTTTTAAATCTGTGATGTCCAAACCAGATTATGTATATTCCAACTAGTCTTCCGAGACAACTAGTCTTCCGAGACTCCAAAGTTAACTAGGTCAAATTTTCATGGTAATAGAGAAGTGAAAGAGTTGAAAGAATCAAAGAGAGGGGAGAAAAGATGAAACAAAAAATACCCATTACGGGCAAATATTGTATATTTCTTAAACCTTGCACCCTTGTTTTATGAGTGATACTACAAAAGTACACAAACACAAGAGAATTAACCAAAAACCCAATAACAAGATTAAAACTATTTCTAAATAATTTTACATGATACTACAACTATTAGCATTCTCATCACTGAAGAAGTGAGTGTAATTATCAGTTACATGAGGGTTCATTGATGGTGGTGGGGGTCCATAGTTAACAGCTGGATGAGGCCTTGCATACATCATTGGTTGGTACATCTCATTGCCACCGTTCATCCTCTGTTGATTCATCATCATTGCCATATATTGTTGATTGTAAGGGTTCCCCGGCCCCATCGCTTGATGATAATATCCACCATTCATTGCTGCTGCGGCTGCGGCTGCTGCTGCTGCTGCTGGTAGTCCTTGCACTGCTGGAATATTACCCATCTGACCCATTGGGTAATTTCCCATTTGCCCCATTGGATAGTTACCCATCTGGGCCATTGGATGGTTACCCATCTGGGCCATTGGATGGTTACCCATTTGACCCATCTGGCCCATCTGGCCCATTTGTCCCATTTGACCCATCTGACCCACATTCTTACCCCCACCACCGCCATGGCCACCACCATGACCATTTCCTCCATTTCCTTTACCACCCTTGCCATGACTAGTGACATCAAAATCATGGAAATCATTCTTCATTTTCTTCATATCATGGAATCCATCATTTTTACCCCCACCTTTTTTGGGCCCATTGCCATTATTGTTTCCACCACCACCATTCTTGCCACTCTTGTTACTACCTTTACCATCTTTCTCATCTTTATCCTTCTTGCCAAACCCTAATAACCCACCACCACCACTACTATTTTTACCACTCTTTTTATCTTCACCCCCTTTCTTTTTACCAAACCCTAGAAATCCACCACCGCTTTTTTTTTTACCATCAATTTTATCTTTACCTTCTTTACTTTGCTTCCCTCCTTTGTTGCTCTCTTTGCTTCCCTTCTTTCCTCCTTTGTCTCCTTTACCATCTTTGTCTCCCATCATTACAATTGGTATATCAATAACTCCTCCTTTTTTACCATTTCCTCCATTACCATTATTACCACCACCTTGTTTCATATTCATGACAGCCCCATTATTCATCATCACATGAGGCCCATGTTTCCCACCATGACCATTATTCATGATGGGCATCATCTTGTTAGGAAAGTTTTGACCATTATGGCCATGGTGAGCATGGCCATGGCCATGGCCAAACTCCTCCTCCTCATCAAACTCTTCATCATCATCAAACTCATCATCAAAATCTTCATCATCATAATCAAGCTCGTCATCAAAATCCTCATCATCAAACTCATCCTCAGGCAAGTGAAACTTGACAGATTTTTTATCCTTGTGGGGCATCATCTTCATATCCTTAGACCCTTTGAATTGCTGCATAATTTGTTGTTGTTGATGGCCACCTTTTGGTTGGTTATTATTCCCACCACCCTTTTGAGATTTGTTGTCTTTACCACCCTTCCCATTCTCAAAATGCATATTTTTGAACTGGTTGTTGAGAAGATTTTGGTAGTTGTTTGAACCTTTTTGAGGCCCCCATAACTCTGCATGTTTCCCTGATTTCTCAAGCTTCCTGATGAGAATGGCTGGGTCAACATTGCCTGTTACTACCACCCTCCCTTGCTCTGCATCTATGCTTGTAGAATAAACACCTAAAATCACAAATTACAAAACAATTAACACCAATTTAGCCTAAGAACCTTAACCAAAAAAATAAAACTTGAACTCACTAAACATCCTTATAAGAACAGTAAAATAAGGAGAAGCATACAAAGAAGCATACCATCAATTTTCTGCAAAAGTTTCTTCACTTTCTTTCTGCAGCCATCACAGTGTATGTTCACTCTGAGAACACAGGACTGCTAAGAAAGGAAACAAAAACAAGAAAAACAGTGTTAACAACCAAGAAAGTAATAAGAAATTCAAGACAAGTTAAAGCATAAGAAGAAGCAGAAAAGAAAAGGGTCCTAAAGAAATAGTCTTTAAAGCATGAACAGACAGATGGAGTACCTGTAACTTCATGAAATCTTGCTTATTCATGTTTGTTTTTTTGAAGCCAGAGAGATCTGAGAAGTAGTGAAATGAACAGAAAGAAGAGAGAAGAACAAAGTTGAAGTTGGTTTGGTTTGGTTTGTCTTAAGAGACAAAAGACTGAAAGAGTTAAAGGCAGTTGTTGAGCATTTAAAACTTATCTTTTGCAAGCTGAGCTTTGTTTAGTGTAATTGAGGACATTGTGATTTGTGAGCTGTTCTGAACTTTAATTTTTATAATACCAGAGAGAGAGAGAAGGAGAGGGGAAGGCGGTTGCACAGGCAGCAAGGCATCATTAGAATAATAAGATATTAAACAAACAAATACACAACACAAGTAGATATTTTTTCTGTCTGTAAAATACGATCGACTACATATGTACACGAGCTGTACTTCGGCTACCCTTTATCTTTTTATCAGTCTTCTGCTTGACAGCTTATATTTCTGGCCACATTATGGTAAAACAATTTGATAATCATATCTTCTTTCTCTTTAAAAATTCCCAAGATTTGATTTAAAATCTAGATCTCTTCTCTATAACTCAAAATTTAACTTTTTTCTTCCAGGGTTTACCTTAGTTTATTCCTATAATGAGTCCTTATCTGCTTAATATCTTCCTGCTTTTATGTGTATTTTACCGACATTGAAAAGATAATCTGGGTTTGCCCATTTTCATCCTAAATGTTAATATTATATCTATTTATTGCAATACTGTACTGTACTCTGTTTTAAAAACCAGACCGCCTGGACTGGCAGCTTTTTGGGTCCGGTTTAGGTCTTAGGAGGGTTTTTGTAATATTTCAAAATTATAAGGGTTAATTGAATTTTATAGGGGTTGGAGATATGTCAAAAATTTAGGGATTAATTGGTAATTTTTTGGAGAATTTTTGAAATAAATAAAAATTTCAGGGACTAATTTGAACTTTTTTAGGGGAATTTTGGTAATATATTAAAATTCAAGGGATTAATATGTAATTTTTTTAAAATAAAATTGTTGTTGACGCCAGCGGTCCAACCGGTTGGACCGGTTGACTCGTGACCTGGGCAACAAAACGGGTTGCCCTCCGATCCGAGTTTTAAAACAATGGTACTGTATAAGAGTACTCTACAAGTTTTACTCTTTAGTTTACGAGCCTTGTACACACCACCCGTTACCTTAGTCCCTACGAGAGCTGGCCCATGTCTGAAGTCATTACCTTAACCGTAAGGAGGGGGTTGCTCAATGGTTCTACATTATAATTTTACAAATTTTACGTTGATATATTTTGATGCATTCATGTAACGTAGTAAAACCTAGCTATATCTCAATAATGTAATGTTGTTTGTGCAACTAAAATTAAAAAAGAGTAATTACGACATTGTTTGACAAATTTATGTTTATGGGTAGAGTGTTTATGGGTAGAGGTATCACCATATCAATACAATCATATATCGGAGCGAAACTCATATAGATTTTCAATAACTTAATATTACTTGTATGACTAAGATTATAGAAATTTACGTTTATTAACACCGAAAAGATAATTTGAATTAACGAGATTTCATTCAAATAAAAAGGTTATCTAATTATTGCATTCCGATATTTTACAAGTTTTACACTTTAGTTTACAGTTGTATACTGTAGCGAAAGCTATAATAGAAGGTTGATAACAAAATGATGTTTGTAAGATATAAATTAATAATGAGTAATTATGGGATCGTTTGAAAATTTTTGTGTTAAGGTGTAAAGGCATCTTTTGAGTGCAAGAAACAGCAACAAAATATCGTATAAATAATATTAGGGTTATGACTAACCAGACAAAGAAATCCAAGTGTGGATGGACCAAATAGATGAGGTCATCAGCTACACAAATTATGTGACATGAGCTTGGGCACCTGGCCAGCCTTGATCAACCACATGGGTTCAACAGAAAAATTTGAAAGTGAAATCAATAAATTTATATTTTTATGAAAATCCCTTACGAGGAAAAGTGAAATAGTTTGATTCTCTATTGGGCATAAAGGTAGTATTTTGTCCATGATTTATTTAAGGGTTACGATGGTGGGTTACTGTAAGCAGGGGTAAATCTATAGTATGTCGAGGGTGGGCCATGGTCCATCCTCAAATTTAAAAAAAAAAATATTTATATATAAATTTTTTTTTTTTTTTGACAATTTCAACTAAAAACATAGAATATGAATATTATATGGTATTATTTTTTATTTTGACCCACCCTAATAAAAAATTTTGGATCCGTTACTGACCGTGAGATAACTTCCCTTAAAGATTAGTCGAGATGTGTGCAAACTGATATAAATATCTCAATTTAAAAAAAAAAAAAAGTGAAACAGAATAATTGACAGTTGGATCGTTAATTATTAAATGAGATTCCATCTTCAAATTTAGCTCAATTTTTATATAATAGAAGAAAGATCATATTTGTCAAGGCACATGGACAACTAAATCCTTCACGTGTGCTTTGATTTCTTGTTTTAGTTTAATTCATTTTTAATATGCATTGAATGTTAAAGTCATTAAGTAGAAAAATATTCAACTGTTGGTCAATATTCAATACCCTTTTATACATGTAGATTTTATTGTTTTAAAATTCTGTTAAGATTATAAAAATAAAAATGTTATAAATCTTCGTAGGAGTTGTTAAAAATCTTTTTTTTTTTTAAATTTTATTTTCAAAACCCAATTTTATGTATTATACAACTTTTGGGTACTTTTTAATTTTTATTAATAGAAAATATCACTGTGACATATATCTTCGCAGTGTTGATTTGGTGATCTCTTATCCGCTTAATTTGGTATATGAGTTTCGGGTAATTTAATTTTTTTTTTAATAACCTCTTCCCTTTTGACCGGGTAACAAGCCTATCCTTTAGCTATTTGGGTAATAAGCACAATAGACTAAGGTAATTAAACAAATATAAATCACCATTAGGTGGTCTGATGATAAAAGAGTAAAGAGCTCTAACATGAGTTTCTGAGTTTGAGTTCCCACAAGCTCTAATAGAGGTGGTCATTGAGAGAATTTGGGGATGTTTGTCTGAGCTTATGAAAATTAGCTTTTGCTTATAAGCTAATTTTAGCTTATAAGCATTTGAAATTTTAAGTAATTACGTGTTTGATTAAAGTACTTATAAGTGACTGATAAGTAATTGACGTGTTTGGTAAAATGTGGCTTATAAGTACATTTTATTATAAAATGACTAAAAAAGGTACTACATTAAATAAGGGTATACTATAGAATTTTAAAATTAAACAAGGATAATGTGGTAATATACTTAGTCAAACTAGCTTATAAGAAAAGAAAAAAGTACCTCTCCCCTAACTTATTTTTTTTTTGCTTATAAGCTTAACTTATATGCTCAAAAAAGTTATAAACAAACAAGCCAGCTTAATTTTAGAGCTTATAAGCTAGTTTGACTAGTTTATAAGCTTAAACAAACACTTCCTTTTATCCGATCGTCAACTTCAAAACCCTATAAAATTAGTTAAGATGTAAGCTGGCTAGTTCAAAAATCTCCAATGAGCAATATATATACTAATGACTAAATAGTTTATCATCCAATCATAGGATGAAAAGTTAGAAAAAAAAATGTAAAAAATTTTAAAAATGAATTTACACGTCTCAAAGCTGATAATAATTTTACTCAATTGAATCGAAAATATTTGAATTCGATTTTTTTCAAACCAGAACATGAAATTACAAATTATCCCTTTGTCCTATTAGGCCAAAAGCTAAAATATTTGGGCAAATAGTAGGACATGAGAGGCCATGGGTCAAGGAGTCCCTTTATCTGATTCCTTGTTTTATGGGATTAAATAATTGCTTGTTTGACTATCTGAAAATGGGGAACCATAGAAAATTGTGATGTTGGAAACATCATAGGCCACTATGACAATGGATTTTAGTGAAATTTAATGGCTGGTTATTATATTAAAATGTAGGGATAATATATAATACAGACATAATGGAAAATATCATATTCTAAATATTCACTTTCAATTTGTTATCACTAATATTGTTAAAAAGCAGTGTCAATCATAGTTGTTAATATCCTATGATACCCGATATATATTATATGATACGATTCTATACAGGTCACCAACGATACATATCAGAGAGTATATCTTAAACTTTTCGATACGTTGATATGTATCTTACGATATGATATGTATCTTACGATATGATATGTATCCGTTCGTATCTTTAAAAATATCGATATAAATTGATATGACTTTATTAATTTGGGCCAAAGGTCTAAAAAAATTTCGGGTCGAAACCGGATCACCCAACCCGATTCACTAAACCCATTTTGCATGGAGAAAGTGAAGAGAAATATGTATTGCCCATTTTACATGATAATAATAATGGCTCCTTTTGGTTCACAATTTTGTGTTTTTAGGAAATTTTTTTTGAAAAAAGTTAAATTGGGCAGGTATTACGATGCAGGATTTACAAATTAATAAAATACCCCCTTGTTTGTTTCTTTACAAAACACCCCCTATAACAAAACATTAAAAGTTAACAAAAACACCCCCAACCCACCCTCAAATACGGACAGCCGGCCACCACCACCGGAGGGTGGCCGGAGTCTCCTTATTGGCCTCATGACCGGCTAGATCTTGCCGGTCGTGCGCCGATATGGCCTTTTCCGGCCAGATCCACGGTGGATCTGGCCGGTAAATGTCAGATCTACAGCTAGATCTGGCCGTATTTACTTGTCAACGATGGCCAATAAACGGTCGTCATTGATGGTCAATGACGACCGTTTGTTGGTCGTCGTTACCGACTGGTTACGACCAAAGATCTGACCGTCAACGGTCAGATCTTTGGCCTTAGATCTGACATTTTTTAACCAGATCCACCATGGATCTGGCCGGAAAAGACTAGATCAGCGCACTACCGACCAGATTTAGTCGGTAGTGCGCCATCCTACCAAATTCCAGCCATTTTTCGGCACGGGTGACCAGAATCTGGTAAATGTGGATTGTTGGGGTGTTTTTGTAATTTTTTAAAAATATTTAGGGGTATTTAATTAAATTAATAAATTTAAGGGGTTTAAAAAAAGTTGAATAATATTGTGAGTTTTTGGGTATTTTACTGTTTAACTTTTTTGGGAATACTAAAAGTAGTATTCTAAAAAATCAACCAAACGAAGGCAATATAAGTGGAGATATAGACATTGACATTGATTTTGAAATTTTGTGATTAATTTTGATTATGTAATACCATAATTTAAGGCCAATAATACCATAAAATTCTTTAATTAATCTTGGGGATGATATTAATTTTTAGAAATTTTTATTATTTTATTAATTTTTTTGAAAAAGGCGTA